GTGCGTGCGTGCGTGCGTGCGTGCGTGCGTGCGTGCGTGCGTGCGTGCGTGCGTGCGTGCGTGCGTGCGTGCGTGCGTGCGTGCGTGCGTGCGTGCGTGCGTGCGGGCGTGCGTGCGTGCGTGCGTGCGTGCGTGCGGGCGTGCGTGCGTGCGTGCGTGCGTGCGTGCGTGCGTGCGTGCGTGCGTGCGTGCGTGCGTGCGTGCGTGCGTGCGTGCGTGCGTGCGTGCGTGCGTGCGTGCGTGCGTGCGTGCGTGCGTGCGTGCGTGCGTGCGTGCGTGCGTGGTTGCGTGCGTGCGTGCGTGCGTGCGTGCGTGCGTGCGTGCGTGCGTGCGTGCGTGCGTGCGTGCGTGCGTGCGTGCGTGCGTGCGTGCGTGCGTGCGTGCGTGCGTGCGTGCGTGCGTGCGTGCGTGCGTGCGTGCGTGCGTGCGTGCGTGCGTGCGTGCGTGCGTGCGTGCGTGCGTGCGTGCGTGCGTGCGTGCGTGCGTGCGTGCGTGCGTGCGTGCGTGCGTGCGTGCGGTGTGTGTGTGTGTGTGTGTGTGTGTGTGTGTGTGTGTGTGTGTGTGTGTGTGTGTGTGTGTGTGTGTGTGTGTGTGTGTGTGTGTGCTTGTGTGTGCTTGTGTGTCTCTGTGGTTTTGTGTCTGTGTGGTTTTGTGTCTGTGTGGTTTTGTGTCTCTCTGTGTTTTCGCGGGTACCTTTTCTATGGTGCTTGTTTTAGACGGAATCCTAAAGGAAACCACTCTTCAGGGTTCCTCTATTTTAAGAGACTGGGTTTGTCCTGGGGGGAGGAGAGGCCTTTCTGCTTTTCGAGAGGCAACCTTGCTTCCATTTGCTGAAGCCCCCTGGAAAAACTAAAATATATTTCCAGTAATCATAGATTCCCTAACTTTAAAACCAGCAGGGGGAAAAATACTCTTAAGAAATGGAAGCTTGGACCGAGGGACACCTTGGCAAACACAAATTGGGACTGCGCCTGGTGCTAACTCCTCCTCGGAATGGGCGTAGCTGCACGCCTCTCCTCTGAAGCACTTGCCCTCAGCCGCACAGATCAGACACGCCCGAAACGAAACGCTCGCCCCTGAAACCGTGGAAACAACTTGGCGAGCAAGCTCCAAGGATTCACCATGGTTACTGCATTGGCTGACATCTTCGGCATGTTTCGCTCCAGCCTGCAGGTGGTAGACGCAGATCTTCGTCTTGAAGCTCGACTCCCCGGTTGCTGGGCCTAGCGAATTGGCGGCTGGGAATCAATTTGCACGATGAATAATCAAAAAGGCTACTGGGATGTTCAATCAACCTATCTGTGTGACTGCAAGCCACGTTTCAAGGTCCTTCAGAGACCAGTGCCATCAAACAAGTCATGCGCAAGCCGGCCAGCCCGCTAGCCTGTCACAACCACCTGATCGCACCCCGGCACCCGGCACTGCCTGCTTGCAACTGATCTTCGCCGTGAGCATAGCTGCACTCGTCCCCCTTGAAGCAGGTTCCCTCAGGGGGAAAGATCAGAACAGAATGGATCTCTGCGCAAGTTGGCAAGACCTGCACTAACTGGATGCTGACAGGGCTGTTCCGATCTTCTGATTCTCGGTTTTGGAGCTTCCAAACTTCCGCGCCTCCAAGTAGAATTTGCAGATCTGCGTCTTGAACTTGGAAGGGGTTAGCACCAGGCTTGGCACCAGGCTTGGCACCACTGGAGGCATTGGCAGCGGCTCTCCTGGTTCCGGGTCCTGCGGCACTCCTGGGCAGGGGGTTTAGACACATGCCAAGGGAATCCAAGGAATCCGTCAGCGAGAAGTGACACGCTCCCAGAACTACATCCTCCAGAGAGCTTAGAATAAGGCTACCAACTTTTTCCTGTCGGGTGAGAAAGGGCACTGGACCTAGGGAACCTCAAGTTGTCCATTTATCTTTTTTTCCTTCTTTTATTATTATTATTATTATTATTATTATTATTATTATTATTAGTATTATTAGTATTATTAGTATTATTATTATTTTATTATTATTATTATTTTATTATTATTATTATTTCATTATTATTATTATTATTATTATTATTATTATTATTATTATTATTATTTGGTATGCTATGGAATCGCCTGGAAAGCGTCATCTTCCACACGCTCGAACTCTTTTTGATGGGCAAGAAGGGAGTCTGGCTTCGAGTCTGTGAAAGCCACAGTGGCTTAAGCACATGGTAGACTAAGTTACTAGCCTTCAGAACCAGATCAGTGTCTTTGCGGGGGAGCCCGTGTTTGTTGGCTTTATGATATACACACATATATATATATATGTATATATATATATATGGGGAAACTAAATGGAAGCACCGATCTTTGGGCACATCCCAGTTTGGAGACAAAGCCACAAGGCTGTCGCGTAGGCCCACGCCCGTCGCCTGGCTCCGTCAGCTCACGCTCGTCGTGGGCCCATCTGCAGGCGTCTCCTTTCACGCAGATGCCCTGGCGCATCGACGTAAGAAGAAAAAAAAAGAGGCGAGCCGGAGGGATTGAGCTCGAGCCCTCGCAAAAGGCACGTGATTTTGGCTTTTACTAGATCGTCCAGTAAAGAGGTTAGAATAAGGGTGCCCGATGTTTTTTCCTGTAGTCTATTTTAGTAGGGGAACCCTCCCGCAAAAAAGGGCAGCGAAACCCTGGAAGGATGATTCCCCTGTGCATGCCAACAAACAATGGTTTCAGAGTGGTGCAGGATTTCGTCCATCCACAGTATGTGAGAGAAACCAGGCACTTCTAACCAGCTTGAACAACTCACTGGATGGTGGGCAAGCTTTTTTGCCACTTCGAACATATTCGACAGCGGGCCTGCAAGTGGAAGAGGCACATCTTCGTCTTGAAGTTCGACTCTGCAGGACCTGCACCGCAACCCAATGTGCCCTCGGTGAATGGAAAAAGGTCTTGCCGTGTCAGTTTTTGATCCGGAATCACCATAGGTGGCCTTTTGGAAAAATAGATGGCCCTGGTAAATGGAACAAAAACCATCTAAACCCGTGGAACCCATCTATTCTTGACCAGCTCACCTAAAAAGGACACCTATGGGACTCACCGATTTATGAAATCACGTATTAAGGACATGCCATTGAAGATAAGCATGGGCTATCCCCACAGGTGCATACAACACATCGGTAAGCTGGGATCGTGGAAGTACTGTTGCAAGCGTCTATCACCAACCTGAATCAAGAAATGAGCAAGTAAGGACCTTTTATCATGGGTAAGCCCAAGGTTCAGCTCGTTGTTACTTGCACAACAGGGGAAACAACTCCGTCGGCACCGCGAAACCAGCTCTTTGTTCAGAAGCTCGCGCCAAGTACGGTTTCGGAGAAGTTCACGAAAGCACCAAAGTCGCCTCAGTACTTCGACATGCTGAAGCAAGCAGCCTCAAAATGCTCGAAAAATGGACTGTACGCCTCCCCCCCCCCGCCCCGCCCCCCTTACGCTGCACCCAGGCAACCAAGGTGTGGCCCCAATCTTCAAACGAATGGCCGCGTGAAATCTGTGACGACCGGTCAAAAGGCCCAAGGCTCCCAGATGGCCTTCCCCGGCATTCCCGGATGGCAAAGTCTTGCTTTCAGAGAAGGCGTTCAAGAGTCAGTCATGCGTCCACTTAGTCTTCCATTTGCTTAAGCTCCCTGGAAAAAAAATATGTATGTCCAGTGGTGATAGATTCCAAAACCAAGAGCGGGAAAAAAAGTTAAGCAAATGAAAGTGGTTGTTGTTTGTTGTGTGCGTGGGCAGCCCGAGGTCTGCTTCACCCACAAAGTGTCTGGCCGCCCTAAGAATCTGCGCCTGCTGCCAGCTCCTCCTCGGAATGGGCGTAGGAGCACGCCTCTCCTCTGAAGCACTTGCCCTCAGTCAGCTGCGCGTGGGCACAAGTGGCCATGGGTCAAAAGCCAACACGTTACACCCCGTGAACATCCCAATCCAACCACTAAAATAGGTTCTAAAATGACTGGTGAATTCACCCACCCCAAAATGGGATCCCATTGGTTTTGACCAGCCAAGTCTCATGAGGAGTGGCTAGCGATCTGGATGAGTCAACAGCTTGCTTGGGCTTCTGATGGCCCCAACCAAGAGCCCAAAAGGAGCAATGGACGTCCAGTTTCGGTCGGAGAGTGTGGGAAAGTGATTGGCAAAGGGGCCCCCTCCAACAAGTTTGGGGGCGTCAACAGGGAAGAGTTGGTAGTCTCTCAGCAATTACTGCGCAGTACTGGTAAAGGATTCGTTTGAGTATTCTTTTTTTCAGCTGGCCAGTGCTGCTTAGAACTTCCTCGGAACTGGCCCAAACACTTCGATTTCCTCCATTTCCTCCCCTTAAACATTCATGATCATTGACTTTCCGGGGCTTCCCTGCACCATCCCCTGGAAAAATATGCTGGGGGGGGCTGGTTTAGTAGACAGTCTCATAAAGAGTTTGATTGGTGACTCTTTGGGCCTCAGTTGGTTTTGCTGGGTCGGGATTGGCTTAGTATTGGTGTAGCTATCATTGGTTTAGTGTTAGCTACTATTGGTTTGGTATTGCCAGGGCATGGGATCATGTTGTGTTGATTTGGTTTAAAACCAAAAAAAACACCCTGGGCGAGCAGTCATAGCTGTTCTCCCGAACAAGAAAACACTTGTTTCGGTATTTCCCCGACACATCTGTTCAGGGTGGGGAATAAGTGTGGAAAAACTGGGCTGCCCTCGCTAAAAGCTTAACCTTTAGTGGGTTACATGGCAATCCCCACTAAACACTAAAAAGCTAAAAGGCTAAGGAACCGGATGGCTGGGAGCCACCAAGAAAACGTTTCTGCATTGCCTCCCTCTTTTTTCGAAGCGCAACAGCCCCCAACAGGGGGTGGA